CTGGAACTCCATCCACGTCTCCCACCATCTTCCGCTGCTTTCCCAGGCTCCTGAGCAGGGATCTGGATGGGAACTGGAACCGCCAGGACATGAACCAGTGCTCATGTGGGATGCTGGCATTGCGGGCAGTGGCTTAACCCACTGGGCCACAGCGCCAGCCCCCATCTAGCTTTCTTTATCGGGCCTTTGTACATGGACCACGCACAGGCACATCCCAAATGTCTCCTCTACCAAGCCCGCTTCCAGTCAACAGCCGGCACACCACCACCACGTGCCATGAGAATGCGGAACACTGAACTCCCTGCACTGGAAGGCACCTGCTGAAACAGCTTTCCTTCGATGCCGGACTCTCATAACTGAACTTGCAGCCTCAGGAAACTTCAGCGTGAGCCACTCCTTATGATCAACACTTTGCATAGAGATTTGGAGCCAAAATAAACCCACATTGCAGATGTTCAAGCCTCGCCCCCGCTGGAAAGAGGCTCAGATCAGCACTGGGAACCTCCCATCAATCAGAAGTTGACTCCGGCTGCTGCAAACGAGAACACTAATTGTGATACCGCCAGAAAGGACGCTGAAGTCGTCGTGCCCTGTTATCTGCCGTCACAGCGTCTTGGCACCCCCAGCTGTCTCCGCGGGACCCAGTGCCAGCACGTGGCCCCCGGGCGGGGCTGGAGCCTCTGAGGACGAGGGGATCCCACTGAGCGAGGCCAGGGATGCGGCCTCCGAGCGACAAGGCAAAGGCAGTCGGCTTTTTCTTTTTCAGTTTCTCCCTTTCTCTGGCAATAAAAGGGGAGGGAAGAGGAAGTCCCCTGAGCAGGCTTGGCGATTTCTTGGTAAGGACATTTATAAGCACGAGCATGTTGAAAGCACGTTCTTAATAAAATTATTAATAGCTCAGGGGCAGGATGGGTGGAACCATCTGATGTGGGATTGGGGCGAGTGAGTCTCGATGTGTTCCCCATTTTTAAGACCCAGGCTGCCATGCGCCCAGCTCCGGTGTGGGACGTGGGCTGGCTCGGACGTCTTCCTGGGCGCTGGCGGGGGCCTGCGGTTTGAGCGTCCAGGTGCCTGAGCGAGGCTTCTGCAGTGGCCCAGCCGGCGTCCCTGGAAGCTCGGGAGTTCCTTGAGATACAACTAAAAACCACGAAAACACATTCTGCCCTCCCCAATCCCAATCACCAGAACCAAGAGTTCCCTCTGTGCCTAAGTAAGAGGCAGCCCGGGAAGCCAGAAGGGGGTTCCTTGTCCAGACAGGAACTAGAGGAATCAGCACCCGGAGCACTTGCAGAGGCCCTCAGCGGGAGCCCCCTTCGAGGAGACCGGGGAAGACAGCAGTCTGGGGCAGGGGCCGAGAATCTCCATCGGAGTTGAGTCCCCGCAGCAGAGCGCCTGCACGACGGGGCTGCCTGGGGGCAGCAGCCCCGCTCAGCCAGGGAGGGGACGGAGCCCGGGACACCCTTGCTCACCTGCGTAATACTTGAGGACCGAGTCCATCCCTGCCAACATCTCGACACTCAGAGAGACAGCCTTGCAGGGGGCAAGGCAATAGTTCGTGTTCACAAGAATCGGGAGAGCGGAGATGTGCGTTCTGCATGTAGATTCATGGGTCTGGCCCTGGGCGTGCACGCAGGGTGCACGGACAAACCTGCCTCTTCTGCAGAGCTGCGCACCTGCAGGGTTGATCCTCCTTGGAGGCTGCAGATAGGGGCCCCTCCCCGGCCTCTTCCATAAATCTAACCTTGATGCTGAGGGGCACCCACACCACCCTCCTGGACGGGAACCACTGCATTGGAAGCCAGCGCCCAGCCAGCAGCGGGTCACTGAGCCCTCAGCACCCCCATCCACCCAGTCGCCGGGATTGCTTGTGTGTCCCTCCTGGCCGTCTTCATCGCCACGGCCCCGACCCCACTCAGGGCACCATCTTCCCTCTCCTGGACGCTGGCCCCAGGTGGGCACCTGTTCTCCACGGGCATCCAAGTGAGCTTCCATCTGCTCGCAGGCACAGCACCTGGCTGCCCCACTGTTCAGTGAGAAGCATGAGTCCACACTGCTTCCGAGACCCCAGCTTGGGAATCAGACATCTCTGCAGCCCTGCGCTCGTGGAGCTCCGAGGTCTGGCCCGTGGACTCCTCTGTCAGCTTCCTGGCACACAGTAACCGGCTGCAACTATAGACTGGATGTCCCTGATGTGAAAACCCAAAATGCTTCAAGAGCCAATACTTTTTGAGAGCTGACGTAATTCCACAAGTAGAAAATTCCACACCTGACCTCGTGTGACAAGGTCACAGTCAAAAACTGCAGGTTTGCTAAAAAAAATTTATAGAATTGTGTAAAAACAGTCTAAAATTACCTTCAAGCCATGTGTAGGAAGTATACAGAAACATAAACCAATTTTGTATTTATTTTTAAAAGATTTATTTGAAAACCAGGTAGACAGACAGACAGGGAGAGATCTTCTACCTGCGAGTTCACTTCCCAAATGGCTGCAATGGCCAGGGCTGGGCCAGGCCGAAGCCAGGAGCCAGGAACTCCATCCAGGTCTCCCACGTGGGCGCAGGGGCCCAGATACTTGGGCCACCTTTCTTTGCCTTCCCAGTGCATCAACAGGAAGCTGGATCAGAAGTGGAACAGCGGGCCCACGAGTTTCTGGATTTAGACCTAGGCTCCATTCCCAAGATAGCTCATTATGTAGATGCACATATTCCAGAATTAAAATAAAAAATCCCCAACTGGAAACCTCTCTGGTCTCAAGCATTTTGGATAGGGGAATACTCAGCCTGCAGTAACAGCTCCCCTGACCAGGCCGGAGCCGTGCCGCTGGCTCCGTCTGCACAAACCCCCACTGCCGGCCGCACTCCGTGCGCTGCTGTCTGTCACGTGGGGTGATTCCCCAACGCGGTGCTCCCTGTGCCTCAGGCTTGCCCACAAGTAGGGCCTCTGCCCAAATGCTTCCTCATTCCCAGTGTGCCCAGCTAATTCTTTTCCCAGGACTTCTTCCCTAAACACGCTCTGTCTTCCCAACTGGAACAGCGCCGCCCGCCCCCCCCCCCCCCCAGCCCCGTGGCACCAGGAGCAGCTGTGGCTGTGCTCGGTGAGCACCAGGTTCCCACTGTCACCATCGCAGCCTCCGATGTTGGGAGACTCGGGAGTGTGCCTGAGTCCTGGCTGCACCCACGCACCTGCTGGGCAGGAGAGAGGCGCAATGTGAATGAGTGAATGAGTGAGTGAGAGTAAGTGCAGTGACCCGGCTGTCTTGTCCATTTCTGGGCCGTGGTTCCGAGTCCCAGGCTAGAGCAGACCTGTGTTCTAAGAAAGCCAACAGAGAAACCTTGCTGGGCCACGGCCCACCTGGCCTGCCCAGCCAGGGCCTCAGGGAGGCAGAGGGGCCCCGGCCCCGTCTTCAGGGTGACTCACAGGCACCTGGGCTGCTCATGGGCAGAACAGGGGCCTCTGGTTTCTAACATCTCGCAGCCTCGATCCCGTCTTAGCGCAGCTGTGAGCTCCCGGGGGCGGGGGGTCAGGAATGGCTGCCACCCCGTACGCGTCTAAAACAAACTCCCCAGAGGGACCGGGCGGAGGTGGGGGCAGGCAAATAGGGTTCCTGGTTTCAACAGCTGTGCTGACGCTGCAGCTGTGGGCCCGGCCCTCCCCCCGGCAGGCAAAGAGGTGCCTTAGACGCCCGAGCCCGCAGCTGGCGCCCCCCCCCCCATCCACGCTGCCCACCGCCGACTTGGGACCCAAAGACCCAGCTGCCCTGGTGCCAGCAGTGCTAACGTCCCTAGTGGGAGGTGTATTTCCGAGCCTTGGGCGAAGGGCATGGCTTCTCCCTGGCCTTCTAGAACGCTCGCAGCAACAGCTCAGGATGTGCTCACCCACGAAGACGGGGTGACCCGCGTCAGTGTCACACAGGGTCCCGCCGGACTGTGCTGCCGCCGGAAGTGCTGCTCCCTGTGCACATGCACAGGGCCTCCTGAGGCGGTGGGCACCTGGCCGCGCCGCCTGGGGGGTTTGGGAGACAAATCCGGAGCTCATCCTGGAAGTGAACACCCGCAGGCACCTGCCACGCCTGTGGCGGCCACGAGCGCCTGTGGAGTCAGCACACGCACTCCCAGGCCCCCGCTGGCTTCCCGGGCTGAACCAGGCCAGTGTGCACGCGCACCCCCCGGGGTGCCCGCCGGGGGCTTCTGGGCATTGAAAGCGGAGGGTCGGAGCCTCTGCGGAGGCTGCCGCCTGCCGCCCACCACCAGTGTTCGCTCCCACATCCACCTGCCTCGCGTTCAAGCCAATCTTATCCTCAGAGAAAAAACCTTTCTCCCTCCCCTTCCTCCCACAAAGGAAGTTGAAATGGCTTCTGGGGTCCGTTTCTATTATTCCTTCCTACTCAAAGCTGACGAGGTCGGAATAGCTGCATTGAACAACGCGCAGCCAGTGTTCGTGGGGAACCTGGCAGTCCCCTCCTGGGCTTCGGTGCGACTCATTCCAGGGCTGCCAAGTAGGCGGCGCCCACTCTGCACGGGCCAACCTACGCCCATGTCCAAACTTCTCTCCCCTCTCTGAGGACCAACAGGGACATGGATCTACTTTTATAGCAGTTGTCCTCTCATCAAAAGTCACGGGGTGGGAGGGCGGCGCTGTGGCATAGCAGGGCAAGCCACCGCTTGCAGTGCTGGCATCCCCTATGGATGCCAGTTCGAGTCCTGGCTGCTCCACTTCTGATCCAGCTCCCCGCTATGGCCTGCGAAAGCAGTGGAAGATGGCCCAAGTCCTTGGGCCCCTGCACCCGCGTGGGAGACCCAGAAGTAGCTCCTGGCTCCTGGCTTCAGATCAGTGCAGCTCCAGCCATTGTGGCCATCTGCCTCTGCCTCTCTGTAACTCTGACTTTCAAAACTTTCAAATAAACAAACCTTGAAAGAAAAAAAAAAAAATCACCCGGGGGGTGGGGGAGGCGACGCAGCCTTCAGTCTTGCTAGGAAAAGAAAAAAGCATGGCACGTGATGTTAAATATGGCTAAGTTGACCTTTATTAATAAAAATGTGCAGCTTCTGGTAAATTCCCTCCTGGACAACACAAACCCTGGAGAGAGCACACACCGAGAGATGGTTCTCACGCCAGGGGCGGGGGGACCCCAGAACCCCAGAACACGTGGACAGTGTGCACACCACAGGAGACCCAGAGGCCCAGCTGCTCATGTGAGGCAGGCACTATGGCTAACCAGTAACCAGAACAGATCAACAGGGCCCTTGAGACATCTGACAGGCAGCAAAGTCAAGTTAAGCAGTGGAGTTAAGGTGAAAAACATTCTCCCTTGCTAAAGAACATCCTGCATTTGCAATGTATTACAACACATATTCAGTTTAAAATGAACAAACAGCTTTACAAATCTCGGCTGGACACTTCAAAAATAAACTCTGGGTGGCTTTTTCTTTTTTGGCAGCACCAGCCTGAACTCTGCGATATTTCAGAAACGGCAGGTGCATTATAGTCTTCTGAGAAAGGCCCAGTACTTCAGAATTCTCGGAGTGGCTGTGGAGAAAGAGCGTTACTGGCAACAAGTATTAAGACGGCATTTCAAGGCCAGCAGGAAGACGTAATCACTGGGCACGTGCTTTTAAGCAGTCAAGATAATATCGTAAATGCTTTTTCCGTTAGCATATTTACATGGCTTTTTGGTGTAAGGACACAAACAATGCCCTTTCTCGGCAGATTGCGTGAGCTGCCGATGCGGCTCGCGGTGCATCGGGGCCCATGCCTCCGTGGCGCGAGGTAGGCTACTGCGCTGTCCCCGGTCCCCAGGGGGCTCACCTTGGCAGACCCTCTACATGCCTGGGAAAACCGCTCCTCTTGCTCAGGGGCTCTGTTTGTGGCGGAATTCGGAGGCACTGGGTTGCAACATCTTTCTAGGGAGAGGTCGGGTGTACTTTTTCATTCGTGTGGCTCTGCGTGCTTAAGAGATCTGAGTTGGTGGGATGCGCTGGGCCACTGTGCTGTGTGCACCACGTCCCAGGAAGCCTACTGCCCCGAGCTGCGAACTGCACACACTCTCGCCACCTAAATGGGATTCTACCCACCAGGAAGCATTATTAGAGCCCTAATCAGACACTTCACATAGCTCAGAGACACTGACGCTTTATCTTCGGCCACACATTTTCTACTATGAGGCAGAGTTGATTGGAGTAACAAAAAAAAAAAACCTTTTCATAAACATTTAATGAGGTAGCTGAGATCCAATATGCAAACCACAGCATACACAAGGAGCTTAATCAATGCTCATTTTCAAATGCAAACTGCAGCAGAGCTTAATAAATGCCGTTTCTTGCCAGTTCCTGCAGGTGCATGCAAACCTCGAGCAGGGGCCACAGCAGAGTGAGGACAGCAGAAGCCAGGAGCGTGTGGAGCTAGGCGGGTGCAAGGGGGGCTGCTCGCCAGTGACTGGAGAAATCAGGGGCGTGACAGGCGAAGGGGCCTGGAGCAAGGCAGCGGGCGCTGACGGCCCAGTGCTCTTCCAGTGAGACGGAGACACCGCTCAGAGCACCCCACGGCTTCCCGGGGACCAGAACTACCCTCTCTCAGGAGAAATCTGCCCCCTGCTCCCCACTCACACCTCCCTGGGGTCTGGGTGGGGCTCTGCTCCCAGCCACTCATTCCCCTGAGTTCTCACAGGCACAGGCTGCTCCTAGCTGGACAGCTTTGCAGAGGTCAAGTTCAAATGCCTTCCAGGAGGAATCCAAGGGAAAAGTGGCCACACCAATCCTTGCAGTGTGGATTGGGTGACTTCTAGGAACATGGACATTAGGAATTCACACATGCAGCCACATGCTCACAATGCACACGCCTGTGCACACTCACACACAAGCTTACAGTGCACACTCAGAGCCCACATCTCATTCACACAAATGAGCATACTCTAACACACACTCACAAGCTCATGAAAATGCACACAAGCCCATGCCTACACTCACTGTGAACACACTTGAGTGCACACACCGACATGCATATGTGCAAACGTTCATCCATGCACACTCATATGCTCACATGCATACACACTGACACACGCACACCCACTCGCCTGTTAATCTGTACTCACACATGCGGCTGCGTGCCCACACATCTGTGCACATGCACGCACACCCTGACACACACATGCCCACGCCCTCGCCTGTTAACATGCACACCCACACAGGCTCACACCTGCGCACGGTGACACAAGTGCACCTGCACACTTACCCACGCATGCACAAAGCAGTGCACATCACAGAGCAGCATCCCGGGGTGCAGCGAGCTCAGCAGAGGGGAGGGGTGGGGCAGTAGGGGAGGGGTTGGAGCCTGGCCGGATAGGGTGGCGGGTACAGGAGTCCAGAGCCCTCCACCTTTCCCGCTGTCGCAGCAGCGCAGCCAACACGCCACCGCCCGGAACGCGCCGAAGACAAGCACTGCAGAGAGGCGCCAGATCCCTCCGCGTTAGGTCTCCGTCGTGTAGTTATTGTAGGCCAGAGGGGGCAGGCCCGGGAAGCTGCTCCACCGCCTGGCGCCAGGCTGCGCCTCCACACGCCCTTGCTCTTTATATTTACCCAGAATGCTTTTGGCTTCTTCAGCATCCCGCAAGGGGCTCTCTCCATACTCTTCCTTCAGCCACTGGCGATACTGGAGGTGTTGGAAACAAAGCCCGCGAGTCACACACATGGATGCCCCCTGGGCTTACGAGGGCGGGGGAGGGAATGCCTGCACAGGCACGGGCAGTCACCGCTCTGTGGTTGGCTGGTGTGGGGCAAGAGAAGTCCTTGCACCTGCAAAGTCTTGGCTTGAGCACGGGAAAACCAGCCACACCGTGACAACGGAACTGCGCCCAAAGGCAGAGGCAGAAGCGGATACGGAGTCCCGGGTACCAGGGCGGTGGCCGTGGCTGTGGCTGGTACACGGGGGATCTGTGACAACTCTCGTGGGGTCGCTGGTGGGCAAGGCACCCTTGCTTGCCACCTCCAGCCTCCCTGATTCGAGACGTGCACCGGGAGACCACGCGACGGCTCACCTGCTGGACTTCGTGCTTCTCGAACTCCTGGAGCTGCCTCTGGAAGCCCAGGTTGGGGTTGGCGCAGGACCTCCCGGCGCGCACTGTGTGCAGGGCGTCTTCCCAGCCGAAGTCGGTGACGGTCATGATGTAGGCGATCACCAGCGTCACGCTCCGGGAGACCCCCGCCAGGCTGCAGGGTGAGGGCAGTCTCAGCGCAGGGCTGGGTCGACCACCCTGCCCAGGTGCAGCAGGGGGCTCCGGGGACCCTGTCTGAGAGTCGCTTGCCCCGACTGCAAGTGGTCAGCAAGTAAGCAGGGGGCGGGAACTCCATCATGAGAACAGGCCGCCATCTCTGCTTCCTGACCCCAGGTTCTCAGGCGCCCCGAGGCATTGATTTTTCTACAAGAGATGGCTCCAGGCACTTCGGCTCTAGGATTTTCCATTACTCCTAAGCCCCTCCTCAGCTACTGCCCATTTCCTTGGACAAAATAAAATAACACAGGTACTCCAAGGGAGCTTGAGGCTGCCAAGACCCATGCAACAATCCACTTAAAATCTGCACTAGTTTGGAATGCCTCACAATTTTTTTCTTTAAGATTTATTTATTTTATTTGAAAGTCAGAGTTACAGAGAGAGGGAGAGAGATGGTTCTTCCACCTGCTGGTTTACTCCGCAAATGGCCAAAAAGGCCAGAGCTGGGCTGCCTGAAGCCAGGAGCCAGGAGCTTCCTCTGGGTCTCCCATGTGGGTGCAGGAGCCCAAGTATTTGGGTCACCTTCTCCTGCTTTCCCAATTGCATTAGCAGGGAGCTGGATCAGGAATGGAGCAGCCAGGAATTGAACTGGTACCCACTTGCAGATGGTGGCTCCACCTGCTGTGCCACAGCGCTGGCCCCAGTCAGTTCTTAAAAGGCTGGTTTCCTTGGGGCCAGCGTTGTGGCAGAGCAGGTTAAGCCAGCATCCCATGAGTACCACTGTTCAGCTCCTGGCTGCTCCACTTGTGATCCAGCTACCTGCTAATGCGCCTGGGAAGGCAGTGGAAGATGCCCTGAATCCTGGGAGGCCCAAATGGAGTTCCTGACTTTGGCCTGGTCCAGTCCTGGCTGGCATGGTCATCTGGGAAGAGAACCAGTGGATGAAAGATCTCTCTCTCTCTCTTTCTCTCTTTCTCTCTTTCTCTCACTCTCTCTCTCACTCCTCCCCCTTCTCTCTAATTCTGCCTTTCAAATAAATAAAAAGATCTTTTAAAAAAAGATCTGGTTTTCTTAGCTGCTATATAAGGACTAAATGTTAGATTTTTAAAGCCCAGGAAATACAGAAAAAGACATCTTAGTTTCATGTTCTTTTTGACATAATCAAGCCGAGTGCCAGCGTGGGCACAAGGAGCTTGGCCAGTAGTAACAGTTTGGTTCTCTGCAGCCGGCTGAGTAAGGACCAATTGTAAATGCACATGCAAATGAAGACAGTGACAAATGGCTGTACTGCACCAGCCTCGGGGTGTGCCGTGCCGGCAGTGGTCTAAGATGGGGAAGTCTGGCAGCTGTGTCCCCTTTAGAAAAACTCGTCTTCAGATGTGCACACGGAATGAAATGCAAATTCCTAGAGGATCAGGCTCGCCTGCATTCAATGTCAATAACAATGTAAAAAAAAAAAAAAAACCCACACTCACGTGAAGCTGCCTCCCTAGACAGAGGGTTCTTCTTTTATTATTATTGATTTATTTGAAAGGCAGAGTTACAGAGAAAGAGGGCTGGGGAGAGGGAGGGAGGGAGGCAGAGAGAGAGAGACAGAGAAATCTTTCATCTGCCAGTTTACTCCCCGAATGGCTACAATGGCCAGAGCTGGGCCAGGCTGGAGCCAGGAGCCAGGAACTCCATCTGGGTCTCCCACGTGGGTCCCAGGGGCCCAAGCACTTGGGCCATCTTCCACTGCTCTCTCAGGCACTTAAGCAGGGAGCTGGATGGAAAGTGGAGCAGCTGGGGCTCAAACCGGTGCCTGTGTGGGATGCCAGCACTGTGGGCAGTGGCTTTTCCCCCTATGCCATGGCACCGGCTCTATTCCTCATAGGCTCAGGAAAGTAGAGCAATGTCCCCTCTCTGTTCTTTCCCAGGACAAGATGTCCAGCAGAAATGTAACAGAAACACTCAGAGAGCTTTTTAAAGATACATACTCTTGGGTTGCACCCCTGGAGATCTGAATTCATGAGAATCCTGGAGAAGTCCGGGGGTTTGAGTTCCAGAACAACCAGGGCCCTTTAAAACCAAATGTAAACACACACAAAAACTCCTTCATATCAGCATGCTTTCTAATCTTCCAGAACACGAAAAGATGGGGCTGGCGTTGGGTGCAGTGGGTTAAGCCCACGCCTGTAGTGCCAGCATCCCATATGGGTGCCAGTTCGTATCCCAGCTGCTCCTCTTCCCATCCAGCTCTCTGTTAATGGTCTGGGAAAGCAAAGGAAGACGGTCCAAGTACTTGGGCCCCTGCATCGGCATGGGAGACCTGCAAGAAGCTCCTGGCTTCGGACTGGCCCAGCTCCGGCCGTTGTTGCCATTTAGGGAGTGAACCAGCAGATGGAAGAACTTTGCCTCTCCCTCTCTCTGTAACTCTACCTCTCAAATAAATAAATAAAAATCTTAAAAACACACAAAAGACATGCAAAGATGGGGCGGGCATTGGGGGCACAGTGGGTTAAATACTGCTTGGGATGCCAGCAACCCATATGAGTGCTGGTTCAAGTCCCAGCTGCTCTATCTCCAATCCAGCTCCCCGCTGAGATACCTGGGAAAGCAACAGAAGATGACCTAAGTCCATGGGCCCCGGCCGCCCCCGGGGGAGACCTGGATGACGCTCCTGTCTCCTGTCTCCAGCCTGGTCCAGCCCTGGCTATTGTGGCCATTTGGAGAGTGAACCAGTAGATGGAAGAGCTTTTTCTACTCTGTAACTCTGCCTTTCAAATAAATAAATAAATCTTTTAAAAACTAGGAAGAAAAACCAAACTATTTCAAGAACTGTCTACAACTGCAGAGCATGGTTCTAAAAGCAACCTGACTACCTGGTGCCCTCCCTGCCTTCCTGGGTTTCCCAGGGACATCTGACACTTTTCACAGCTCAAGCCTCTGCTCTGTTAATCTGTGTCACCTCTCATTCGAAACCAGGGGGTCCTGGTCCTGCCTGCGCCTTGCCAGGATGTTGACCACTGGCTCCCTAGATCAACGAGCCAGGTTATTAGTGTGGCTGCTCATGGTGATGAAAATAATAGCTAACAGTTACCAAGAACTTCCTGTGTGCCAGGTACAAAGTCCAGGGCTTTCTATCGTATCCTTGGCTTATATGTCTTTGACCTTTCTTTTCACTGTGTGTGTGTGTGTGTGTGTGTGCGCATCCTAAGTTATAACAGCATGCAAGTGGAGAGCTGTCACTCCACCAGTCACCTGTTTAATGCCCAGGGTCTGTTTTAGACTTCTGAAGGCAAAGCAGTAAGGCAGACCAAACGCCCCAATCTACAAATCCAGAAGAAATGGTCCTTGCGTGTGACAGTGATACGATGTCAAACACCCTTGTCTGCAGGCAAAACCTGGGAAAGAAAAGCCACTGAGGTCTTGGGGATGGACCTACAGAACTGGTGCCACCTCGGGGAAGCTGTTATGATAAACGTTAGCAGCAGATGAGCAAAGGGTCCAGCACCTGGGGTCCAGGACCCAGACAGTCCCCACAGGAACCCAGCAGGGAGTGGAATGCAAGCAACACAAACACGAAAGCAGTAAGGATTCTCCTTCAACAAAGGCAAACAAGGACTCACACAGCAGGGGACAGCTGCCCTGTGTGCTCGAGTCAGAGTGGAGAGCAGAGGAATGAGAACCCCAGCGAGTGGCTGGAGAGGCCAGGCTGGTCTGTCCTGAGCAGGAGACATACGCACCAGTGCACAAGGCAGCCCTCCCCCTGGAGTCGGCACTCATGAATGAACTTGATGCTTTCTTTGAAGTGTCTGGTCCTGGCGGGGAGAGCAAAGAGAGAGTAGTCACATCACTCTGCTTAACACAGGAGGGAGAGAACAATGTGCTGGAAGTTTCTGGAAAGGAGTCCCACATCTTTCAGTCCTGGCTGCCCTGCCTGGAGATGGGTTGCTTTGGAGAGGGTCAGCCATGCTGAGGGCTGGGGCAGGCTGTGCGTCATCTGGACCGTGGAGCTTCTCTGCTAGGGAGCCTTGGCACACGTGGCTGCTTCCGACTGCGGTGGGGGTGGCTCACCCTCCACGTGCACGCCCCGCAATGCCCGCCGGCCCACGGGGACCCTCACACAACCTCTGCAGGTTTCTCTGCCCCAGCGATGGGGAGAGAAAGGTGCCTACAGCATGCCGGCTCCCCTCGTCCTAAAAGCTTGGTTACTGCTGACCGACCGCTCCACGTGGGTCTCTGGGGACTGTGTAGGTCCTGAGTGCCTGGCTCCACCGGCCCCTGCCTTGATGAGCCCCCAGCCAGCATGTGCGCCCAGCACTGCTCTGACTCCAGGGACACACCCAGCGTGCACTTTCCCAGCGTCCTCTGCCGTTTTGCCCATGACAGAATCCAAAGTTGCCCAGGACAAAACCCACTTCCCTTCACACACTGACCGAGCACTGCCGGTTCACCAGGGACCCTGCTGAGCTGTGAGACATCCAGAGACAATAAGATGCAGCTCCGGGCTGCAGCAGGACACAGCAAGTGACAGGAAGAGAACGGACGCTCAGGTGTGACGTGATGAACACACCCGGGTGCGGCCTGCAGAAAAAACCCAGCAGCCTGGCTGCGGGCGCCTGGTGAGCAGACAGCAGGTGCAAACCCCTTTAAGTGTGCACAAGCAAACACGCACATCCCCGCACCCTGACCACGGTCACAGGGTCGCCACAAGTGGACAGGCCCAGGGCGGCGACTAGTCTCTAACTTGCACTCTTCAAGCTCTGCTTCGGTTGACTTTCCCAAATGCTGGCTTGCTCTCCGGCAGCACGCCGGGAAGGATTCTTGCTGGAAGCCTGAACTCTGAGAGAGGCCTCGGAGGAGATGTGCAGGGCAGCCGGGTAGTGAGGCTGACCGCCTGGAGAGAAAGGTTTCCGGGGCCCGCGCCATGATGCGAACTTGGCCCTGAGCAAGGTGCCAGGCAGCCTGGCCGAGGGCTGCAGGCAGGAGCTTCTCACTCTTCCAGCGCTAGAGGGGGCAGGCACGGCCTCTGATCTGCAGGTGGTGGGACTGCAGCAGGAGAGGGGCTTAGAGGTGCAAGTGCCCAGGGCCGCAGAGTAGCCCGCTGTTGCCACAAGGAAGTCAGAGAGGCTGTGAGTGTGTGTGTGTGCGCGCATGTCTGGAAGAATGTTTCCCTTGTGAGGAAAGAAATCTTCCTGCCGGGGGCTAGAGCGGGCACCGTGCTCAGGACGACATCAGCTGCCCCCGTCACGGTGGTGACTGCTGGGGACACCAGGCCTGGGAGTACCCCTGCCGGGCTTCCTGGTGAGTCTCCACCGCTCAGAAGGCGGTCAGTCAGATCTTGTTACTTAAAGCCAACTGTACACCACTTGGAGTCAGCAGCCAGCACTTCTAAAAACGCTGGATCAATTCATCTGGCCCAGAAGTGGCTCCAGGTTGCTGATGCGCCCTCTGCCCCGGGGCTTGCGCAGGGCAGCCTGATATAAACTGGACAGGCTCGAAGCTGGGCGGGGCGGGGCTGCAGACCCCAGGGCTGGGACAGGCTGCCTGATGCCAGGCTCCCTCCTGACCGCAGCCGGTGCCCTGGCTGAGGCTGCTGGCTTCAGGGGCATGGCCCGGCCGCACACTCCTTTGGCCCCCAAGGTGCCTGAGAGGCTCGCCCCTGGCCGTGGCCCCCGAGCTCGCCTGTTCTTTGTGGGGACTCCTTCCTGTACAAGGAGAGCACGGGTGGGTGGGAGCGCAGCTGCTGGAAAAGCAAAAGCAAATCCAGAAACGAGCGACAACCGCCTGCGTGGAGCAGTAAACCAGAGTGCCTAGAACACACTGCACAGCGCAGGGAGCCACGGGCAAGGTAGCAGCGCCCCTCTGTCGGGGGGCGGGATTCCGTGTCTCGGACACACACACACACACACACACGGCTGATTCTGCCACCGGAGACCTCGGCCCGGCAGCAACTTCTTACATCGGGTGTTCACACCTCATATCCCAAACTACGACGAACCCCGCTGCGAAGGGTGGAGTCTGGGTCCAGAGTCAGCCTCCACACACTGGGATGGATGGAGTCTGGGTCCAGAGTCAGCCTCCACACGCTGGGATGGAGTCTGGGTCCAGAGTCAGCCTCCTCACACAGGGATGGATGGAGTCTGGGTCCAGAGTCAGCCTCCACACACTGGGATGGATGGAGTCTGGGTCCAGAGTCAGCCTCCACACACTGGGATGGATGGAGTCTGGGTCCAGAGTCAGCCTCCACACACTGGGATGGATGGAGTCTGGGTCCAGAGTCAGCCTCCTCACACTGGGAGGGATGGAGTCTGGGTCCAGAGTCAGCCTCCACACGCTGGGATGGATGGAGTCTGGGTCCAGAGTCAGCCTCCACATGCTGGGATGGATGGAGTCTGGGTCCAGAGTCAGCCTCCACACACGGGGATGGATGGAGTCTGGGTCCAGAGTCAGCCTCCTCACACAGGGATGCAGTCTGGGTCCAGAGTCAGCCTCCTCACACTGGGATGCACACTGGGTTCAGAGTCAGCCTCCTCACACAGGGATGCAGTCTGGGTCCAGAGTCAGCCTCCACACGCTGGGATGGATGGAGTCTGGGTCCAGAGTCAGCCTCCACACACGGGGATGGATGGAGTCTGGGTCCAGAGTCAGCCTCCTCACACTGGGATGCAGTCTGGGTCCAGAGTCAGCCTCCAATAAGCATGGGGGTGTGCTCAGTCTGGCAGCAAACAAACGCACCCCAAACAGAGGAGCTGAGGGCAAGGTGAGGAAGTGGCCCCTGAGCCCTGCTGTCGAGTTCCTTTGTCAGGTCTGTTACGGCAAGGGTTAAGGCTGAGACAAGCGTGGGACCCCGCCGTCGGCCCCACCGTGCCGTGCAGCCCTCGGGCAGGCGTCCGTGGCAGGACCCCCGTGCAGGCCCGGCCTGGAAGCACGGACGGTGCCAACACCGGGCAGCTCGGAGCCCCACTGTGAAACCTGACTCCTGGCCACCGCTGGGCACGAGGCCAAGCCAGGCAGACATTCCTAGAAATGCCTTTTCCAAGAAAAGCCAGGAGGCAGGCGGGCTCACTGCTGCTTTGGTGTAAAGACTGCGGGAGTCGGGGGTTATTTCCAGGGACGCTAATGACATAAGCCAGGGCTGGCCATTAACCTCCTCCTCCACAGTGGGAAATACCCACGGCCCCGCTCCTTCTCTTGCTCAATCCCATCGGAAGCAGAAGCGCCGACCTGAAGCCCGCCCACCCCGGCTGCTTCAGTGAGCACCAGTTCCCCATTCCTGCTCTGCGTGTCCTGCGGGCCGAGAACCTTGTGCTTCCACAGACGTGTGGAGCACACTCTCACCTGCACGGGAGCACGGCCTCCACGTGCAGCACAGACCCACCCAGGGGCACCTGCACGTGGGCAGCTGGCAGGGGCATTCCGTGGCGGGGTGCCCTGAGTGTGTGAGTGGGGGTGGACATGCCTGAGCAGACGGACGTGGGAGGGGCTGTCATGGCACGGCATTAAACACGCAGGACAAACTCACGTGCCATTGGCACCTGCCTCACTTCAGACTTAACGCCTCGTCCTTATTTTACAAGCAGGAGGTGCATTGCCATGCTTGTCACGCCAGGCAAGGTCACCATGACTGCACACCAGGCCGTCTGCTCCAGGATCATTTCACAGCTCCAAGAGAGAAAGGACACCGTGCAGGCTAAGGCGCAGGTCTTTAACTGAATGAGCCACGTCTCAGGAAAAGCGGGATACGCGCTGTCCAGAGCCTCTCCCTGCCCCCCGGGGCCTGAAGGATGCCACGACGGGCTGACCAAGTCCTCAGGAGCTGCACCACAGTCCCCCAGGGCCCACCTGGCCCTGACCTGATGCCAGCTACAAGCCCTGCAAGACAGCAGCAGAGTTGGAGGGACAGGAGACACCAGTGACACTAGAGACAGCGCAGACGAGGAGGAGGAGGAATGAGGCAGGAACGCTCTGCCGATGCTGTAGATACGGCCTCCCTTTCCTGTTCAAGCTGCTTCTCCCCACAAAACCTCACGCACTGCAGAGATCTGCTCGAGTCTCAGACCACGACCTTCACAAGCTCTCCGCTGTGAGGACGCAACACCGTCGACTCGGAGCCTGCCAAGGACCACACACTGACAGAGAGGAAGAAAGAAATGAATTACTCGTTTAATGATGTCTAACTACAAAATGCCAGTGTGATACCTTTTCATATAAGAATGAATAAACAGAAGTTGAGATAATCCAACCACTCACTCTCAAAACACAGCAGTGGTCTCTACTTGAGTACACAGAAAATGCAACATTATTTCGGAAATGCTTAGTGTTAATAAAATACACGTCGGCAGGATGGGCATTCGGCACAGCAGTTACGAAGCAGCGTGGGGCCTGTACCCTGTATCAGTGAGCCTGGGTTTGAGCCTTGGATCCAGTCCTGGTTCCACTTCCTGCTAACACAGACCCACTGGGTCCCTGCCACCCTCACAAGAGACCTGTATTGAGTTCCCAGCCCCTGGGGGCCCTGGTGTTGAGGGTCTTTGGGGAGTAGACCAGCAGATGGTCTTTCTTTCTCTCTCTCAGTCTTCAAATAAATAAATTGGTAATTTTAAAAAAAATTTCTCTGAATACTATAAACATGTTGCTGAGATAGGTGTCTTACAGATGAGAGAAGTGAGGTTAAAATGACTTGCCCAAGAAAGCTCCGGGCTGGCGCCGCGGCTCACTAGGCTAATCCTCCGCCTGCGGCGCCGGCACACCGGGTTCTAGTCCCGGTCGGGGCGCCGGATTCTGTCCCGGTTGCCCCTCTTCCAGGCCAGCTCTC